TGGCTATAAATGGGTGGAATATATTATTTCAGTTTTTATCAATCTTCAAAATTAATTTAGATATTTGACAGTGACACATTTTTGGTTTTATTGCCTCTGAATGTTTGCAATGAAAATAGAAAAAGTCCACAAAGTCTCAAATTCAATCTTTGTACTGTACTGTGTTGACTGATAGCAACTAGAACACTCTATTTAACCGCAATGGTTCTGAGTCTGGAAAAAGAAAGATCAGACAGCTTCTGAATGGTGTCCCTTATCATCCTACGATATTTGTTTGTGGACGTTGGAGGATGGAAGAGCATTTATGGTATTTTCAATGGTTGAATAATTTGTTAACACTATCTTGCCTACGTTTAAACACAAAAAAAACCTCACACAAACAATTTACCAGCCTCTGCCTGTCCTTTGGAAACCATATTCTAGCACATCAGGGTATTTGTAAGAGACTAAAGGATAAAACTGAGAGGAAAAAGAATGTTGCATGGACATTCTTCATCTCTGCCATACTTACCAGCACAAGAGGTTCCCATTTCCTCCACTGTTTTTACATCCAACAAATGATTCTTGGGATTGTTTCTGTAACAAAGACAGCTGAACTATTAACGTAACTAAGGAGACTTGTTATTAGTATTATAATAAACTTTTTTAAACTACTTTGCATAGGGTAAAGGGATTGTTCAGTAAGAAAACTACTGACACTTTTAAAATCCCTAATTGACATTTGATGAGCAAAAAAGGATTTGCCTTGATCCATTGAAATGTTACAATAATTTAGTTAGTGTACTTTATCCTACTTTTAGATTTGGCCTCATTCAGAATAAAATCCTACATAAGAATAATAAAGAAAAAGAGGTGTGAAGGTGCACCTTCAGGTACAAGTTGCCTCTGTGCGATATGATCGTAGGTTTCATGAGGAAATGAATTTTCAAAGAATGAGAGCCATTATTCCTTACAATAACCTTTGTAGAGTCTTCAGGTGCAAATGCCTTCCAACCCAATGACAAATCAACATTGTACATACTGAACATTCAGTTTGTGCTGATCCAGAGGAGATGCATCACGATTTGCTATTACTGTCTTTGAGGCCAGGGATTTTCATGATAACTGTACAATCAATTTATTGGTGTTCACTTTTGTGAAGGCACTTGGTAGTGACAGAAAATGATCAGAATGTGCAGAAAGATCAAGTGAGTAGCAGGAAGAAATGTGTCATAGAGATAATCCTCTTGGATGAATACTGCAGTCTTTGGCAAATTGTGATCATATGTTTATCAAGGATATACTGCCACACGAGCAAATTAATTATTTATTCACAGTTTGAATCACTTAGTCTGCATTGATTTACTTACATTGCATTTCCTTTCATTCACAAGTCATTTAAAGCTTAATTCTTGCTTAACATACCAATGTTAAGTTTAGTTCAGTAGTCCTAACCACATGGGTAGAGAGTGGTCCTATATGACAACTGAGCGTCTGATTTCATCTAGAAATGAAAGATCAGTCCTTTTACCAGAAAGTTTTAACATTGCTAAATCTGAACTTGACATACACAGCAATGTAAATCGCATGAATCCTTTTCTTCAGTAATTCTATCTAAGTGAAAGTGTGTGGTTTGTCTGCAAGGTGCACAATTACAAACTGCCTTCTCCATCAGCTAAATATGAAAAAGAGTAAAACAGTGTCATACTCAATACAATGAAACATTTTCAATAGAATATCTCTATAAATATTAAAAATTGTTTAAGTTCAATATGGAGCATTCAAGTAGTAGACAATTGCTGAAAAACAAATGCTTTGTCAAGGCTTTTTGTCTTGCCTTCAACAGGATAATTCACATAAAATACCAATGTAGATGGTCAATGACCAAGGGTATAAAATTTGGGGTGAGAATTTTATGTTAGAGATGTTGGGAATGAAGAACGAATTAATAATTGTACATAACTTAATGAGGCAGAGGATAGTGGCAACAGCATTTTAGTTTCCATATTAAACATATGGAAGGTATAGAATGGGAGGTCAAGCAGGTCAGCATTAGAATATCAAGTCTGGTGTTGACAAAAAATGGTTGAAGACTTAAGAAGCAATTGAACTTACGTAGAGACGAAGGTGAAAAATGCTACAGAGAGGAGAACAGGTAATCTTCTTGATAGAGAAATACGTTATTAGAAATTTAACTTCAGATTAACTAGAATGGATGGACTATTGAGGGATGTAATAAAGATAATAGCATGTACATTGTGCTGGGCAGGGTTGGAAGTTGAGTGTAATGTTTTTGGTCTCCAAGTTGGAGCTCCTCCAAAACTGCTTGCTGGTCAAGCAATCTGACGACACAGAATCAGTAAAGAAGTTGTACGAGATGATTTAAAGGTGGAAGTCAATGTCATCAGAAAACATTTAGAAGCTCAGCGCTGTCTATGGTGATGTAGCCAAGGGGCAGCATGTAGATGAGGAACACAGAAATATATTTTTTCAGCGCAAGACTACAATGGCTGATTGTCTTGTCACTGTGATTTGTGAGCAATTAATGAATCAGTGTTGGAGATTGGTGAAGTGGAAGTCTCTGAAGAAAAATGAAGAAGACTTATTGCAGAATTTGATACTTGTCTTTGGATGAGTTTGAGATGACAAATTCTTGGATTTAGAGTTTTGCTGTCAGAGATGTTAAAGGGTGGATTCTCTTACTTGTAGGAAATTGGCAATCTTGGTAAAGGACACGTATTGGGCATTGAATTTCAGATCAGAGTCGAATACAATGCCAAAGGTATGCTTTGTTTAGTCTGAGTGTACAGCTACAGCAGTCACAGCTGTATGGGAGAATCATGGTCGGAGTTTATTTTTTTCATATTTTGCAAATGCAGTATTTGTGGAGTAAAGGGCGAAGGAAATAGATCTGAATGTCACTGAGTGGTAGGATGCACAAAGGAGTAAAAGGCAGCAAAAGTTGGTAACATGAAAGACATGCGAAGGCATCATTCAGACAAGGAAATAAGCAGAAACTACAGGAGATGTGCCAGTTCATTTGGGACAAGCAGCAGTGGAAATATGCAAAGTTTGTGCAATTGTGAGGTAACATAAAGGCATATTAAATGAAACCATAGATTATACTAAATGGCACAGATAATTGAGGAAAACAAGAAAGGAAAATACACTCCAGGTGCAATCATAAAGGATTTCAATGGCATTAATTGGTATAGTTTCATTGCTGTGCAATGGATCAAACCATACTGAAACAATTTGAAAAACAAATAATGGGAACTGAATAATGAAAACACATTTGAGAACTTCAGGAAAGGAGGGAAGATTTGGTTGGGAAGGATGGAGGTATTAAGGCTTCTTTTGTAAAAAGAGGAGAGATGAAACTATAATTTTGGTGGGGGAGCAGCATCCAGACAACTGAAGTCATAAAGGAAGTTCTGATCAACTTGACCTCTGCAAGAATAAACAGTACAATAAAACTAAAATAGTGAATTGAATTTATTTGCAAGGGTCCTTTCTGATAATGAGAAGAACCAGATGATTTTAGTTCATATCATGATGATGGTATTGTCCTCAGGACTTGCCCAGTCAAAACCTGAAGAGCTTTGTTTATTCAAGTGTGGCAAACATTTGATCAAAAGGACATAAAAGCAGGTAGTACCTCGAGGGAGATCCAGGCTGACCACGGTTATATAGCACATTTGCTAAGCTATAAAGCCTGTATTGGGAAGTGTTTTTACTGTAGGAAAAAGGAATTAATTATCTGGATAACTTAATTGATAATTTCTTGGAGTTCAACCCTAAAAATAACACTTGTCAGAAAATTATTCATGCAGAAAAATAATCGAAATGTACATATACATTGCGTAGCAGGAATGAACAAGCGAGGAAGATGTCCCAAATGAACCAGCATAACCATGTTAGCTCGTGATCTTATACAGTACATACTTTACCAAAGGGATTCCTCGACATGGAGAAATTAATTATTCATTCGCAGTGTTGAGTCATTTAGCCCGCATTGATTTACTTATGTTGCATTTCCTTTCATTCACAAGCCTTTTAAGTCTTCATTTTTTCTTCCACACCAATGCAGTAATTCTGCACTATGAGACTTGACTGAATTTGTTGCAGAGCAGATAAATGCTGTTTGTTCATCAGAAAGAGTTTGCTGTGTAAAAGGTGGTTTCAACATACCAGGGCACCAATAATCCTATTTTCGTCTGTGATGATTCTGCTTTTGAGGATGTGTGCTTATTTTTGTCTTGAGAGTTACTCGATTCACTTTGTAGTCAACTCCACCCCGTCAGCTGAATAAGAAAAGCTTCCGAGCAGCGGCGCACGAAATGAATTGGGACGTCTCCAGTGGGTGTTCACCAGCTCAAGTGTAAGGTCCGTGAGTCACTTTGTGCTCAACCCCCTGTCAGCCCTACAGCAAAGTGCTTCTCACTCAGCCTGCTATCAGTCCTGGAAGAGGCATTGTGTCACAGTTTTCAGTGCTCTTACTGGCTTTCATCAGCACTTTCCATTAATGCCTGCTCCGGTGAACCAACGCAGCATGACTTGATGTGGGATGAATGCTCGAGGTTACCAGGAAGATAAAGGGAGCCTGCAGGCAGCTTTACAGCCATACAGTGAGCATTAATTGTGGGAAGATAGCTTACTCTGTTGAAATCAATAGACTCTTGTGACCTGTAGCAGAGGGCACACTGGACCGGCAGTAGGTCACTGAATGGTGATGTACAGGGGACTGCATACTGCAGAGTTGTTAGGAAGTAAATGCAACTGCCTGCAGTAAAGGTAGAATCGGTTTCAAAACCAAGCGATACAATACCAGCTGCAACATTCCGAACTCACTGAAGCTTTTCAGTTGCTTCCCTGTTTTTGTCTGTTTATCTAGGATATCCCAGAAATGAACTGACAATCTGGTTAGGTCTGAGAGACAGCACGGTACTCCATTAGTAATCAGCTTTAGACTAATTGTGCAAGTCGTTCTGATCTGTGGGAGTACAAAAACGCAGACAGACATGCATATTTTGCAAGCTTTCTGTAGCTTTTCTGTAATCGTGTGGACGTCTTTCAGTGTTACACAGGCACAAGCGAAAGAATCACAGCAACAAATTCCCCTCAATGTGTAAGTCTTGGTTTCTGTTCTTTTAAATTTCAGTTAGTTAATTGTGTTTACAGTTAAAAGGCTGCATGTAGGATGAAATTTAAAGTTGGTTTCATACAGTGGTTGGCACGCTGCAGGATCTATATGGTTCATAAAACATAACATCATATTCTGCGTAATAGCCCGAAATTGGTAGTTTAGAGGGTATGATATGTACACTAGCATTTGGATCTCAAGTGTGCTTGATGGAAAGGAATGTTATTATTTTTTGTCAAATCATAAAATTAATAGAGTAATAAAAGGATTACTTTCTTGCTAACTGCTGAGATTTTCCAGCAATTTGTGTTTTTCTTACTTTCTTTGGGTAGCAATCAGAAGTCACATTGTTTTTTCTCTCTTTCCAATGATAAATATGTTACCAATATTAATGTCTTTTAGGGTAAAACTATGGGCTTCAGCCTTCGGAGGGGAAATCAAGTCTATTTCAGCCAAGTATTCAGGCTCACAATTCCTGCAGAAGGTAACAGCTTTCTTTTTTTCATTTTCTTTTACTTTTAGAACCGTAGTTTGATTGTTTCAGAGCTTAGTTGTCACTTAACAACTGACTGCATTTTAAGTAACTGACCCACTTCAAAAAGCTATAATCTTTATCATTCCATTTTAACTGATGCGTATTTAATTGAACGTGTTTGGCAGTGCTTTCGATTGTTGTCCGCTTGCCGAAGCTAAGATTTATGTCACTGTATTATGACTGATCCCAATTTAAATGACCATCCTTGGCTCAGTTACAGAGTGTAAGGATAACTTTCGTTGTTTTGACTGGTAACTGTTTAACTTTACACTTGACTTTTTGAATATATTTTAGTACGAAAAACGAGCCGTCTATATATTTGAGTGTGGACTTTGCAGCGCGTACAGTGTGCTTATTTCAATTCTGCTGTCCTTTCGCTCCAGCGCTGGGATGTATTACACCATTGCAGATAAGAGAAATGAGGATCTTATCTAGCTGTTCAGGTTCATAACTGGATCATATTCTAGTGCATTACTACAGGACTCTGAAAAAATGTTGCACAGTTAATTACATTACTGTTGGAATGAAGAATACGAGTTAGCACTAGTGTCAAATGAATAACTTCACTACAAAATTACAAAATAATCATGCGCCTATAATAATGGTCAACAGAAAATGAGTTTCATGATTTTAGCCAGCTGATTATTTAAAAGTCAGGGTTCATATTGGAAAATTAACATGCTAAAGTTACAATGTGGTTTTAAAAAAATACAGATGGCCTCTGCACAATATCAAAATACGTGTTGTAATGATGCATTGTGGGAGTTTTCACAAGCGTGAAGGACCCATATGCTACACACGTCAAAGGAAAAGCAGGAGAAAACAATATTTTACAGAAGTGGAAAAATATTTTAATCAATTGTGCTCATTTTCAAGCAGTTACCCTCTGAGAAAACATGATGCTCTACTTATTGCATGGATGTCTTCTAAACAAAATCTGAAAGATGTGATAATGGGTTAACTAGTGACAAACAAGTTAGGCTGGTATACTTTTCACACCCATTAATCCCAAGTGCTGAACGTGTGACTTAAATTCAAATGGTGAAACATCTAAAATATATTCAACTTGACCTTCTCCAAAATTTTATTTTACTATTACAATTAGTTTCCTAATGTTTTGTTTGGCTTCCTGTGTTATACAAACAACCTGAACATATCTAACAAGTAGAAATATGTTTTTGGTTTCTTACTGTAGTGGTTCTGTGATATTTTATGATTTTGCACAATTATACACTTATAATTATTGTAAATGCAGAATTTAAAAGTAAGAAGAACTCTTTTTTAATATATTGTAACTTGTACTACAACACATATAAAAAGGGAAAAGGTCAAGTGTTTTGAGCACCTTATATTTCCAGTAACTATGTTTGCCTTAATATGGGGTTATTGTGTTAGAGAATGGCACCAAAGTGGTTCAGTATCGTCAAGGTTTACTTAGTAGAAGTACAAAATCAGATAAATGCACATCAAAAAGGTTCTTCTTGAAATAATGAAATTTAGTCATATAGATATTGATCTAAAGCAGAATAGTATAGCTTCTAAATACAACATTGCAAGCTTTGCAAATAACAAGAATAAAATGGTGGAAGCCTGACAGACCTTTATCATTTGAAAGGTTTCTCTGGACTTTTAAACTTACCTTTTCCATTTTCCATGGATGTAACAAACCTCCTGTATATTTTATGCATTTTATGTATTATCATAGGCATCACATTGACTATCGGTTTAGATTTAATTATTCAAACTTTTCTTCTTAATTTGTAAACTGTTGATTTATGTATCAGTATAGTGATTCTGGGTAATATACCAAAGTACTGATTTATGGTAAAAATGTTTTGTATTAGATATTGTCTTGCTCTCATATGTATTTATAGATTGCTACAAAACAAACATAGCTGATTTACAAGATTTTTACAGCTGTCAAGTAGATTTCACAGCATAAAAGAGATTGTAAGCCTCCACATAAGGCCCATGCTTAAACTGCTAAAGACTTAGTAAAATCATCCCTGCTAATTAATGCATCTTTTACAACATTTAAATATAAATATTTACTATATAAACTATAAGTTTCATCAGAAATAATGCTGAGAATACCTAAAAATGAGGCAATCATCTGTTGCCATTTTACAAGTTAGTTCTTCCTTGGTTGAGAATGCAATGTGGTAAATAATGATGTTTGAGCTTTTAAGCAATGCACAGGATGAGTATCACAATTTTTTCAATCAGATAGAAATTGTTTATCCAGAAACAGCTGCTTCATTGTTTAAATTTCTTCAACCAATTTTTCTTTGTTTTTGAATGATTTATACATACATGTAATAATACTGTCATCAGTCTGCATAATTACGTGAGTTGTAATAAGAATGTAAGTACAAACCTGGGGAAAGGAGAAAAATATTATGTTTATTCTAATAGATGGTAAAATCTATAAACATGTTTGAATTGGAATATACATTAAGAAATGTGTGTTAGTTGAACATTTGAATTGTTAACATATATATGGTCAATGAATAATATTACATTGTAATACATATAAAGCAAGGAATCAATGAAAATCTCTTTAAATAAAATTCCTTTTGCTCGTTATATAATCAAAATCATGGGTTATATAATGCCATAATATACTTATATGTGGGCTACATTTATGAAAATCGGTAAATTGTTGAGAAAATCATTTAATCTAATACATTGGCCTTGATTTTCTTCTTAGGAAAGATTTTTGTCATTCATGTCAGCGACAACTACTTAAAGACCTTTGCAAGCTTGCCTGTGGTGATTTCCATGAATCCAGCATGTTTTCCATTGTAACTTCCTCTACTGTGGATCTATGACACCCACAAACAAGTTAACAACAGTGAGATTGTCTAAACTATCAGATTGAATAATTCTTATTGAGACTCATAGAATTCAAATCAGGAACTATAAAACAGAAAATATAAATTAGATTTAAATGACGTAAGAAAATTAAATGAAGATTGGAAGAAACTAAATGATATAAAAGAAATGTGCAGGAAAAGTAATAAATGCAATCTTTATTTAAAAAAAAAAATATTTCCACTGAGGGAATGAGATTCCTCAACTAAAAAAAATCAGGGCCAAAAATGGCTATTCATGTGTAATTATTACTTAAATTCATCAATTAAAAACTCACTAATAAATACACTAGCATTAATTTGCTCAGTAGAACTAAAGAGTGGCTAAAGGAGGAGGAGGGCTTTTTAGAAACCAAAAGGGGGATTTACACCTGGAGGCAGAGACATCTAACATAATAAAATGAATACTTTGCAACTGTCTTTATGAAAGAGGAGTATGCTGACCAGGCAAGGTGACAGAGGCAAAACCTCTGTTACTAGACAGTTTCAAAATTAATAAGGAAGAGGGTTAGATAGACTATTGGTACTTAAAGTTGACAAGGCACCATGACTGGATGAGATACATCCAAAGATTTTGAAGGAACTGAGGATAAAAACTGCAGGGCACTGGCCATAATTCTTAATTTTGTCTGGGCTCAGGGAAGTATTTGGATTCTGGAGAATTGCAAACATTTCAGCCTTATACAGAAAAGATTGTAGGGATAATCCTGGCAATTACAGACTAGTAAGTGTAACTTTGGCGCTGGGGAACCTTCCAGTAATCAATCATTTGGGGTAGAATTAGTAGTTATGTGGAAAAGGCTGCATTGATTAGAAAGAGTCAGTATAGTTTTCTAAAGGGAAATCATGTTTAACTAACTTGCTGTAATTTTATGAAGATGTAATAGAAAAGCTTGATGAGGGTAATGCTAGTGATGTGATTTACATGGATTTCCAGAAGGTGTTTGATGCAGTGCCACACAACAAACCTGTGAAGAAGGTTATAAGTCATGGTATAAAAGGTACTGTAGCAACATGGACACAATATTGGCTGAGGGATAGAAAACATGGAATAATGGTCAATGAATATTTTTTGGGCTAGAGGAATTTTGTGGTGGAATTTCCCAGTGGTTGGTCTGTGACCCTTTCTTTTCTTGATATATATTAATGATCTAAATCTTGGTGTGCAGGGGACATTTTCAAAATTCATAGATGACAAAAAACTTGGAAGAATTGTAAACCATGAGGGGGATAGCGTAGAACTCCAAAGAGACATTGACAAGTTAGTGGGGTGGGCAGATAGGTGACAGATGAGTTTCAGTGCAGAGAAGTGTGAGGTGATGCATTTTGGCTGGAAGAACATTGAGAAGCAATACAAAATAGGGTAGAATTCTAAAAGAGATTTGTGAAGGATTTTCAAAATCGTGTGTGGGCTGGATAGAATAGGTAGGGAGTAGTCGTGATCCACTTATAAAAGGAACACGAATAAGAGGGCATAGATTTAAAGTGATACACAAAATAAGCCAGGATGAATTGAGGAAGAACTTTTTCACACAGCTGATAGTTAGGGTATGAAATGCAATGCTTGAAAATGCAGTGAATGAAATTTAAATTGAGGCATTCAAGAGGACATTCAGTGATTATTTGGATAGAAATATGTTCAAGGGTATGGGAAAAAGCGGGAAAAAGTGGCACTAGGTAACGATACTTGTTTGAAGAGCTGGTGTAGGCAAGATGGGACATAACATAAGATAACATAAGAACTAGGAGCAGGAGTAGGCCATCTGGCCCCTCGAGCCTGCCCCGCCATTTAATAAGATCATGGCTGATCTTTTTGAGACTCAGCTCCACTCACCCACCCACTCACCATAACCCTTAATTCCTTTACTGTTCAAAAATTTATCTAGCCTTGCCTTAAAAACATTCAGTGAGGTAGCTTCAACCGCTTCACTGGACAGGGAATTCCACAGATTCACAACCCTTTGGGTGAAGAAGTTCCTCCTGACCTCAGACCTACATCTGCTTCCCTTTATTTTGAGGTGATGCCCTCTAGTCCTAGTTTCACCTGCTAGCGGAAACAATCTCCCTGCCTCCACC